ACCCAGATACCAGCTTGAGGTCACTCTGCTCCTTAAGGTCTAGATAAGATTGACCTGAACCCCACCTTGTGGAAAGTTCAAGACCCTTTATAATATTATTGTAAATGCCCAAGGATTTGTTTTCTTGGAGCCACCTCTGGCTCTGACGTTCTTATTTTCGAATTCTTGTTTTTCAGCCTCTGTCTTCTGAAATTTCCTTTCGTTCCTTAATTTAACCTTTCCCAAGGCTACCAGGACCTTGGTGATGGTTTATAGGTCACCAGGGAGAGCTTAGTAAGCATATCACATAGCAAATAGTTTAAACTAGCGTTTTAGGCCTCCCGTCAGTCCTCTCAGCAACCCCGCCACTTTGTAGCGCCCCTGCAAACCTGGCCTCTTTGCACTGGCTAGCTCTTCTCTCTGTTTCTTGTGCCTTCTTACCCCTTTCCTCTTGTGCTGGCTTTAATCTTATCAACTCCTTGCAGAATGTATCTGGATTCTGACGGGTCATAGCCACCACCATCTCCTACCTAAATTTTTGCAGTAGCTTTGTAACTGCTCCCCGCCGGCTACTCTGAATACAGCCATCAGAATATAATCCTTTTAAAATGTGAAGTAGATGGCATCACTCCTCAGAACTCTTCAGTGGTTTTCTGTCTCACTCAATAAAACCCCAAGTCTTCACCAGGCCTTTAAGCTCTGTAAGATCATCGCTCTGATTTCACGTCTACTGTTTTCACCCTAGAGGACTGGTTTCTGTTTTTCCGTAAACACGTGGAGCACACTTCTACCTCAGAGCCTTTGCACGTGTCAGCTCTGCCTGGAATGATCTTTCCCCAGATGTCCCATTACATTGAGTTCTCTATTCTAATGTCATTTTGTCAGTTAGGATGTTTCCTAACCTCCTTCCCTATCTTATTTTTATCATAGCATTTATAATTATCTGATATACTATATATTTTACTCGTTTGTTTATCCTCTTCTCTCTAGATCACTGGTTTGAAAACTATAGGATGCGTCAGAATCAGGAGTGCTTGTCAAAGCACATACTGCTGCGCCTCACCCTCAGAGTTTCTGATTTAGTGTCAAGCCTCGGGTTGAGGCTTGACAACATGCATTTCTAACAAGTTCTCAGCAGTACTGGTGCTGCTGGTCCGTGAATCTCACTTTGAGAACCAATGCACTAGAACTGCTCTGCCCAATACAGTGGCCACTCACCACATGTGGCTACTTAAATTGAGTTGAAATGAAATGAAAAGAAAATTCAGTTAGTTAGTCCACCAGCTCAACGTATTTCAATTGCTCAGTAGCCACATGTGGTGAGTGGCCACTGTCCTGGACAACATGGATACAGAAAATTTCCAGCATTGCAGAAAGCTCTGTTGGACAGCACTGTTCTAGAACTAACCTGCATAAAGATGAATTTCTATCCTGGGTTTTTTTTTCCCCCTAGAGCTATATCCTCATATTTTTATATGTCCTCCACTTGGAGCTTACTTTAGTGTAGGAAATAAGTTAGATGCATAACTTATTTTTCATCAGATGGCTAGTCAGTTTTTCCAGTATCAGTTGTTGAAAATTCAGTTCTTCCCCCAGAAATCTGAAATACCATTATCATATGCAGTATTAAATTTCCATCTGTATTTGTGTCTGTCACAGAACTTTCTGGTCTGTTGCATTTATCTGTCTGGGAATAGGAATATTTTCAAGACAAAATTGGGCTTCTAGAATTATTAACTAAAGAATTAAACCTAAAATTATAGAATGAGAGAATAAAGTCGTAAAGAAGTTGTATGATTTCTAATTGTCTTTCAAAGAGGCATTTTTACTAGAAAATATTTCGGCAGTTTTGAGTTCAAAGGTCATGATATAGCTCTAGTCAGCATGCAACCTTCTTGCCATGAAATCTGGTCTAGTGTGCAAAGATTACAAATGACCAAGTTGACTGAGGGAATAGGCCCTTATTATAATATTCTTGGTCCATTAGAAAATTAATATATCACAGTTATAAATACAATAATTCATTAAGGCATATCAGAAGAGTTAAATAAGAAGTGTACATCAAGAGGGTTAAATTGTTCTTACCTTTTAAAATGGATAATATCTTTTTCTTTAAATTTTTATATGTTTGTACATAAGGGGATGAAAATGGCACAAAAATATGGATTAACAAAAACAAAACTTTAATAACTATTTTTGTCTTGTTAACTTTTGTGTAGCTCTGGCAGAGATTCTAAAGAACTGTACCTTTAAGAAGTAAAAGATGTTTGAAGTATAAGTTTTAACTTTTACATTTATTACTTGGCACATTTATACATAGAAAGAGAAATATAATCTGAACGTGTCACTATTTATTCATAGACAACAGTGGACAGCTCTCCATTCAGTTGGCAGTGAAAGTTCTCTCCTCTTCCAGCTTAACTGTATTTATAATTATGTTGTATTTATGTAGACATTACCTAATCCTTCCTAACTATATTTGCTATCAGAAAAAGAAGGTACCATTTCCATGTGGCATCAAATTTCTCTCATGGCATACTATGTTATTAAAAAATAAACTTCAATAATACCATTATGCTAGTCTCCCTCTGGATGAAATTTAATATCTACTATCCAAAGCCAAAATTTGGGCAATTATAGACAAATTTAGGTATAAGCATCCTAGATAGCTCAAGAGAAGCACATAAAACTCCTGAATATTATTGTGGAAGCATCTAATAAAGATGTAGGGAACACATTTTGAGGACTGAAACATATTTCAGAGAACTTTTTCTTTGTGAGGGACTTAGAGTCTTTTATTTATTTATTTTTCTTGATATTTGTGTAAGGGGTGCTACTTATATGGGCGGGAGGAGAAGAGACGTGAGGGTACCATTACGAAACATACCTCTTGAGATTGGAATGGCCTAAGAATGGGCAACAACCACAGAAGGGGAAGATGAGGTAGGGGGCTGGACACCGGATGGTTTGAGAATCTATCGAAAGTGCTGTTTGACCTCAGGAACACACACTGTCAGACAAGACTGCCTCTCTGGAAAAACTGAACCAGAGAGGCTGGAGACCCGAGGACTCCACTTAGGAAGGTGAGGGTGAGGTGCATATGAAAAGATTTACTAAATTAAAAATGGCATGCTGAATGGTGAGATTCCTAGCCTCATTTCCCTGTCAAGTTTCTGAAAGCCAGTAGTCAGGTTCATATCTCTAGTCGAGAAATCGGAGAATTGTTTTTTATTGACATTTATATTTCCCAAGGGAAAAATATAGCTGGCTACCTGATTACCCTCAAATAAAGCCCATTAACCCGTACTTCAATCCATGAAAATAGGACTTTTACACAGTGTTTTAGCACCTCAGTATTAAGTATGAACTAACAGCTTAAGTCGGCAGACATTTGAGGAAAGCAGATAATACAAAATATTTTTCAGTGTGCTTCTCTTAAGGGCTGACAATTAAGAAAGACTCAGAGACCACATTGTTCTGTTGTTGGTGAAAATGAAAACACAAGTCTATGTCAACAATTGGAGTCTATGGAAAGAGAAGTAAAAAATTGGGTAGTGTCTCTGAATGTCAATTTGGGTGTGCAATTTCCTATAGAAATAGGTTCTGTATTACCATTAGTACTTAACAATTACTATTTGAAATTATCTCATGCATTTGCTTGGTTACTTTTATTTTTTTTTGAGGAAGCTCAGCCCTGAGCCCACATGTGCTGCCAATCCTCCTCTTTTTCTTTTTGCTGAGGAAGGCTGGCCCTGAGCTAACATCCATGCCCATCTTCTTCTACTTTGTATGTGGGATGCCTACCACAGTGTGACTTGCCATGTCATGCCATGTCCACACCCAGGATTCAAACCAGTGAACCCCGGGCCACCAAAGTGGAATGTGTGCATTTAACCACTGTGCCACTGGGCCGGCCCCAACTTGGTTACTTTTTTATTGTCTAGTTGAAGAGCCCATAAAATATTTATGTCAAGGACTCAATAGTAAATATGTTAGGCTTTGTGAGCCATACAGTCTCAGTCACATCTACTCAAATATGCATTGTAACATAAAAGCAGTTCTAGATATTATGTAAACAAATAAGCATGGTTGTGTTCCAATAAAACTTAATTAACAAAAACAGGCTGTAGGCCCACGTTGACCTGTGGATGGTAGTTTGCCAACACTTGATCTAGTTCACCTTGTTGAGTATTAGATCTATGAGGGCAAGTGTGCCATAACACTTGTACTGTGTCTTCAGTGCCTAGAAAATATTAACTGGTGTTTGAATGAATTAAGAAATCTAGGGGGCCAGCCTGGCGGCCAAGTGGTTAAGTTCGCACGCTCTGCTTTGGTGGCCCAGGGTTTTGCTGGTTCGGATCCTGGGCGTGGACATGGCACTGCTCGTCAGGCAGTGCTGGGGCAGCGTCTCACATGCCACAGTTGGAAGGACTCACAACTAAAAGAAATATATGTATATATAACTGTGTACCAGGGGGCTTTGGGGAGAAAAAGGGAAAATAAAATCTTAAAAAAAAAATCTGTACTATACTCTTCTTTAGGATTTTGTGGGCTTCCTCATGTAGATACTCACTATGCTTTCTAAAGCCCAAAGGATGATGATGGTTCTTAATGCTTTATTCTTATGAGAACTTTGGAATATAACCAGTTCATAAGCTAAAGACTGCTAGTATTCAAAATAGTATTATGAAGGAGCAACTGCTAAACAAGTCACTGCTCAGGAAAGGACTTCTTCTAAATTTATAAAATGGAGACAATTTGGCAGATAAATTATAGGTAATTATTAACGCTAGGATCCAAGCTCTCTTGAGTACTACTCAGAACTTTTTAACTATTAAAATTTTGTCTGCTTAAATATCTTGCAGTTAGATTTTAAGCTGCTTTCACAAATACTGTTTTATAGCCTTATTGTATCTACTGAAGTCAGGAAAGCCCTAAGAAGAATAGTCGAAACGATAACTTTAACAGTTAATGAAATTGTTTTATGGACCTTTATGATCAGCATTACTTTTATTTTACAGTAAACCTATGATGGACCTGTTGATATTCCTCTGTGCACAATATCACTTAAATCCATCAAGTTACACAATTGATCTGCTGTCAGCTGAAAAGAACCCCATTAAATTTAAACCAAACACACCAATAGGAATGTTGGAGGTGGAGAAAGTAATTTTAAAGCCAAAAATTTTGGATAAGAAAAAACCTATACCTATAATACCGGAGGTAAGAATTTCACTGTAGTTTTTGGTGTCTTGTGGCTAAAATACTAAGTTGATTTTTAAGTCATTATCTGCAGCTCAGTATAAATGAAATAAAAATTGGCTTTCTTGCTTAAATTTGATGTGAACATAGTTATCATGTTTTCCTAGGCCACATTATTTAGAATTCATCTGGTTATTGGTCCTTCATTAACTAGAATTTGGGGAATACTTAAGATTTTAGATGATCCAAAGTGATCTATATATGACCATATCAGAATCTGACAATTAGGAATTATCTGTATTTTAAGCTACTCTTTTAAAAAGTATTTTATACTTAAAGGAAGATTTTAGAATCTTTTAATGAAAATTCACTTAAGAATTTATTAAAATAATTTTTTGCCCTCTCTGTACTTGATAAGCACTGGTTGTAACTTCTTAACTTCTAAATCATTGTTAATTTGTGCTGCCCAATGACTCAGTTTTCTGTAATATATGAGTTTTAAGCAAAAAATTTTAACCACAATGAGTCTAATATCATCAATTCTTTATAAAATTGTTCTGTTTCTAAAGCAACAAGGATAGAAGTTTATGGGTTTCAAAAAATACTCTGGGGCCAGCCCCATGGCCAAGTCGTTAAGTTCACGTGCTCTGCTCTGGTGCCCAGGGTTTCGCCAGTTTGGATCCTGGGCGCAGACATGGCACCACCCATCAGGCCATGCTGAGGCGGTGTCTCACATAGCACAACTGGAAGGACCTAAAACTAGAATATACAACTATGTACTGGGCGGCTTCGGGGAGAAGAAGGAAAAAAAAAAGAAATATTCTTTCATTAGGAACATCAACTTTTTTTTTAACTTCAGGAAATATATAAAGTTATATTTACTAAATATTACCTATATTAATAATAACTGATCTGTATATTAAATTAATAGTTTATCTACATATGACTTGAGAACATATTTTCTTCATATTGTTATGAAGTTTTTTACAAAAAGGTTAATTTTTTATACTATTAAAACATTTGCTTTCTATAAAATGTGAATATTAAATATTAGAATATTGGGCTATTTTCTATCTAGGTACATGTGCTATGTATCTAAATGGAAATCATTTATGCTTTATGATGCGATTATACATGGTATTTTAGTTTAATGAATACATGTTAAGCTTTAGAGATCTGCAAACTGTAGATTTTATTTAGCATGGTCATGTTTCTAAGTTACATTTATGTACAGGATTTAATTATATTAAAATGCTGATGTTGAAAATCTCAAAAATTTTGAATTAGTATTAGGTGTCTAAATAAGGAATATTTTCATATTCTTCCTTACTATATGAAAATTAGTCAAAGTAGTAGTAGTAGGGACAACAATAGGTAATTATAATACCTAATGTTTATTTATTGATAATTTACTATGTGCCAGATGTTGTGCTAAGCTCTTTATATGGATTATCTTTTATTTCCAATAGAGAGAAGCACCAAAGTTTCATATTTTAACCAAAATACCCCTTTTTTCCTTGAGACAATTGACAAACCATTAGACAAATATTCCTCAAGTAAAAGATAGAATAAACCATGGATAATTCTGTATTATTGCATATGTTTGCTAATTTTAAAGTAAATTTTAAGGAACAAAACAGAAATATCGTCAGTACCAGGTGAGGCTTTTGTGTTCCCTTTTGCATTTAGATCTACCTAATACTTTACTGTATGAGGGTAATGAATTTAACCTAGATTCTATAATAAGCAGAATGTGCTAAGAATCTGCTTTGGATTTAGGAAGCAACATTAATCAAAAAGAGAATTTTACACCAAAATAGAAAAATACTCTTTATTATATGAATATGAAATTGTAGATTATCTCATTGTTCTAGACATCATTGTAGAAGGTTTGTCTCGGTAAAGGAATTATGACATAACTGTGGCTCTAATCTGTGTTTCAGAAAACTGTGAGAGTAGTGATCAACTTTAAAAAAACGCAGAAGACGATAGTGAGAGTTAGCCCACATGCACCACTTCAAGAACTTGCCCCCATTATATGCAGCAAATGTGAGTTCGATCCGTTACATACACTGTTGTTGAAGGATTATCAATCTCAGGAGCCCCTCGATATGACGAAATCTCTTAATGACCTGGGACTAAGAGAATTGTATGCCATGGATGTCAACAGAGGTAAGTTACTTTTTGTGTTATTAATTGACAGGATGTGCGTACACGTATATATGCGTGTGTTGTGTTTATGTATAGATTTTCTCAAGTTCGTATTGGCAAGTTAATGGATCCTACAGCTAAAAGTCAATACATGTCACTGGGAATAAGAAGAGAAAAGTAAATATAATGAAATTTAACTTGATTTCAGTTATTTAAATTGGAATAAAAACTTGTCTTTCTTGGCGGTCATCCACATTTTACACTTTTCCATCTCCCCTTGAACAGAAAATAAAAATTTACATGTCAATTCATTGTTCTTATTAAGTGTGAATTACTGCAGATTCACTATGGTTTATTCTGAGTCTTAATTATCATTCAGGTTTGGAAGTTTCTTGACATATTTTTTTCTGAGTTCAGCACCGCAAATCAACTGACTTATAAAATGAATCAGTCTAATTCCAAACATTTTTCTAAATAGATACAGCTTGCAGTATTCATCTATAGAAATAATTTAATGTATTAAAATTTGGAGACCTTAGGTAATGTTGGTTTCTATGATGTCTAATAGATAAATGCAAGCTTCTTTATTCAACATGAATTTGTTTGATTAGGAGAAATAAAAGTTTAGTGATGGATAAGTACATACACCCTCTATGCATTGAGACCTTCAAATTTATCCTGAAATTGTGGCTTTAAATAATCCATAGACGACTATTTCAATTCAGTGATGTTTTATACTTGAGCAAACATCATCTTTACAGTCAATTTACCCTCTTTTACCCCCTCCTTCTGTAGCCACTTCTGTTACTGCCTTCAGTAAGTCATCTTTACAAGGTAAGACATATGAATCAGTAGAAACGAGTTATAACATGAAATTTCTATTTCTGTTGGGTAAATTAAAAGTAAGCTTCTAATTTTATCTGTTCTTAACATTACTAATGTGTACATTCTGTAAAAGATTTTAACCTAGAAGCTCTTTGGTTTTTACTTCCTGAAAAATAATTTACACAGCACCTCCTTGATTTCTAAATTTAATACCATAATTATGTTTCAGTAATTGTTTAAAAATTAATATCATCCGTGGGGCCAGCCCAGTGGTGCCGCAGTTAAGTTTGCATGTTCTGCTTCGGCGACCCGGGGTTCACCGGTTAGGATCCCGAGTGTGGACATGGCTCCCCTTGGCAAGCCATGCTGTGGTAGGCGTCCCATATATAAAGTGGAGGCAGTTGGGCACGGATGTTAGCTCAGGGTCAGTCTTCCTCAGCAAAAAAAAAAAGAGGAGGATTGGCAGCAGATGTTAGCTCAGGGCTAATCTTCCTCAAAAAAGAAAACAAATTAAATTAAAAAATTAATATCATCCTAAGAATGTTGTGAAACATATTCTTAACTCTCAGACAAGAAAAAATGATTTTGCTAGGATCTTTATTGGATACAAATGCTGAGAGTGTGGAGGTATCATGGAAGGATCTCAGATTATTTCCATTGAACACTTATTCAGAATAATCAAGGTATATTCATCATCGGAAATTTTGGCAGCCATTAAATTGTGACTGTTTTGTAATAACATGGAAAGTGCTTCTGCTAAAATTAGCTTTTAAAGCATTTAGGTGTGTTTAATATGGTATGTAAAAAAAAACTTCTACATGAAATTTATGAAAGAAAATATATAAAAAATTTTAATAATAATTACTTTTGGATATAGGGCTTCAGGTGACTTTTCATTCTTTTCTTTATATTACAGAATTTTATAATGGGAATGTATTACTTTCATAGAGGAAAACTTTATTAAAAATTAGCCGATCATAATAAAACCTGAAAGTCTTTTTCCCCCATTAAAAAAAGATAGGCTCAGATAATTTATTACTGTAATAATTACCACCCTGCTAAAAATAACCCTAATAAACTGTACATATTATGTGTTATTGGAATCTTCTTTCTTTACCCTTCCAATTTTCTCATCACACAATGAGCCTCTCAGTTCCAAGATTTAAGCCCACATTAGTAATAGTGTGATTATTTATTACTAGTGGCTATTATAAAGACTACCCTAATCAAAGGAGTTGAAGATCCTTAAGATCGTAAAGTGTATGCTGGCTAATCATCAGAAGATAGGCTTTTTAATTCTGACACTATTCTAGCTGTCAAACTCATCTGGCAAGCTGAGAGGACAAATAGCTTTATGTGTCTGGATCTCACCTTCACTTCTGTAATAAAGAGGTTGGAAAAAGTAGTCTCTGTGATTCTTTCCAGCAAAAACATTCGTTACTTATACTTGGCTTTTGCTCCTAAATTTGCCGTTCCCTACCTTCATAATCCTAAGCAAATTCCGTAATCTTGTTGATCTCATTTTGAAGGTGTTGAATGCATCTTCTCATATCTCTTTCAGCCAAAAAAGTAGATGGTTTATTTAGAACGTTAAGTGTTGTGAATATAACTTTAAGAGATTGGAATAGGAAAATTAAGAAAGCTCCTTTTACAGTGTCAGAATCTACAAGGTCAAGCCAATGGCTCTAACTGCCCCTGCCTCCTAATTTTGTCTGATATTATCAGAAGGTTTAGAACTTTGCATGCAGTTACTTATAGCCTTTGTTCTGGAAACAGGAAACTACAGTATGTGAGTTGCTTTCTAAGTAAGCTCAAGCCCTTATTTGTCTTTGTCTTTAACTCTGACTTGCAGTGATGCCTGACACAGAGCTTTAAGTGGAGACTTAGGGTGAACTAGTGTGGAAGATGACTGGGTGCCTGGAAATTGCTTTACCAAAAATAACTGTATGAAATACTCTCGTTATATTTATTGCACTGCACCACCATGTGAATTTTCCATCTACTGTTCCAACTAAAAATTGTATATCTGTATTCAATTAGTGGAGGATTCTATTTTAAGATGAAATGGTAGCATTTCTTTCTTTCTTTCTTTCTTTCTTTCTTTCTTTCTTTTTTTTTTTTTTGTGAGGAAGATTGGCCCTGAGCTAACATCCATTGCCAATCCTTCTCTTTTTGCTTGAGGAAGATTGATGCTAAGCTAACATCTGTGGCAGTCTTGCTTTACTTTGTATGTGGAATGCCGCCACAGCGTGGCTTTATTAGTGGTGTGCAAGTCTGTGCCCAGGATCTGAGCCCACAAACCCCAGGCCACCAAAGCAGAATGCGTGAACTTAACCACCATGCCACCAGGCCAGCCATGAAATAGTAGCATTTCTGAAAAAAAAAGGAGGGGATAAGTTAAAAGTGTTATAAATCATCTTTAAATACATACTAGATTTAATTCCACCATTTAATGCCTATGTGTATTAGTGCAAGTTATTCAAACTCTCTGGTCACCTAGGTCCTCAGATATGTAATGGGGTGATACCATTTGCTTCCATTTCTTTACATCCGCCTACTGAGACAAAGGGCTCAGAATGATAAGTTATGATACCTACTTCGTAGAATTGTTCTGAGAAATAAATTAGGCATGAAAAAAATCTTTAACCGTGAAGTGCTATCCACATGTTCATTCTTATTAGTTGTTAGCATTGTCAATAAACTCATTGTGCAGAATGCATACTGCTTACTCAAGATTTGAAGCATCAGATTTATGAAGTTTTATTTTGTGAAATATAATTCTCCTTTAATATGTTATTGAGGCATATTGCATTAATATATTTATTGGCGTTAACTATCTTTTCTTTCCTGGAATAACCCCTACTTTGTTGTAATTTATTTTTTTAAACATTTCTTTTAACTAAAAAGATTATACATTTACCTCTAAGTAAGGGATATTTACTTAAGATTTAAATTTATTTAAGACTATACATTTACCTCTAAATTCTGCTTAGCTGTATCCCACAAATTTAGATATACTGTACTTTTTTTCCAATGTTACTGAAATTATATTGTGATTTACCATAAAATCCATGTTTCTTTATAGAGATGTTTTTAAAATTTACAGATCCTCACTCCTTGTCTAACTTTTGTTTTTAAATTTGCTCTTTATTTGTTAAAGAAACGAGGTCATTTGTCTTATAGATTTTCCTACATTCAGAATGTTGTTGATTGCATACTGTGGTACCACTTAGCATTTTTCTCTACCCTCCCTATTTCCTGTAAATTGATTATTAAATCTAGAGACTTGCTCAGATTTAAGTGAGATATTTTTGGCAAGAATGCTTTGTAGGTGTATTGTCTATTTCCATTGGCAGACATGTAATGACAAGTGATCTTTTTTGATGTTAGCTATTGATAATCATTGCCTCTCTCTAAGTTAATTAAGAGTTGAAAAATGGCCATAATCTATTGCAAACATTCCTTTGATTATTGGTTGAGATATTTCTGAGAAAGCAAATTTCCCCATGTCAGCTATTTGTCTACTTAATTAGAATTCATTTGGAAAAGGTAGGATAAAAGTGTGATTTTTTCTCTTCATCAGTTTTTTAAAAAATGAACTCGTTCCTTAGCATTACCCAGAGGTGAACAATGAGGATCAGTTATTATTTTAGTATCACTATGAATGCATGGAGTTAAATGTATGTGATATATTTCAATTTATTGAGTTATTCCTATATGCCCAAATTGTCCTGACTTTTGCTAGTAGAAACCATATCAGATTGGTTCCTGAGTTCTTTTAAAACAATCCCACTAGACTTTGCCTTCTCTCTGGTATGACTAGATAGTCCAGGCTCATCTTGTACATTCCTTGATGTCAACAGAGAATCAGCCATTCCTGAGCAATCATGTTCCTTTTAGTGGGAAATGGTGTTTAGAGACAATTTGGGCCAAGGTGACTCAACACTGCTGGGTTTGTAATTATTTGTAGGCCCTTTCATTTGACATTAGGAAATACTTTTTTGGAAAATGAAATATTACATATACAGCCCTGAGTTTGACATTTGCCATTCTGATTAAACTGTGGTTTCTTAATTTCAGCACTATTGACATTTGGTGCCAGATAATTCTTTGTTGTTGGGGGGCTATCTTGTGCATTGTATTAGGTTTGGCAAAATCACTGGTCCCTACGCGGTGGATGCTGTAACACATTCTTCCCACCCTACCTCCAGTTGTGACAACCAGAATTGTTCCCAGACATTGTCAAATGTCCTCTGAGGGGTGGGGAGGTAAAATCACCCCCAGTTGAGACCACTGGATTAAAGAAACAACACTTATGAAACGTTTAACAAAGTACTAAGTAATTATAATACCTCATGTTCTAGAGAATAAAATATTTCATGATAGCTTAGCTCTGAGACAAAATTATAATTCAAAATAAACAATGGGACAAACTGTATGAGAGCAACTTCAAATTTTAAGTGTCCTTTTTACTCTGAAATGTTGGTAATTATGTATAGAACACAGACTCCGAGTCACAAAGAATTGAGTTTATGTCCTAGCTCTCTCATTTCCTGATTGTTGATCTTGAATATGTATCTTAGTTTCTTTAAGCTCCAGTTTCCTCTGCTGTGGAATAGAAATAATAATACTAAATTTACTTGTTGCTTTGAGAATTAAATCAGATATAATGTGCCTAGCAGAGTGTGTGGTTCATAGACCATAATTAGTAGCTTTTATCATTAGAAAAATTTTTCACAGCAAAGCAATTGAGGGAACACTTGAAAGTGAACATACAGTTCTGTGTACAAAATTGAGGTGCTTTTCTTCTATTTTAGAGTCCTGCCAAATATCACAAAACCTCGACATTATGAAGGAGAAAGAAAATAAAGGGTTTTTCAGCTTTTTTCAACGCAGTAAGAAAAAGCGGGAGCAAGTAAGTATTTTTTTATGTAGCCTTGTAGTCGATTTTTCTAATGTTTTTTAAATTGCATGTGCTTTTTATCCTGAAATTACATACAGATTTTGCCTTTTTATTCTTTATTAGACTGCAAGTGCCCCTGCAACCCCTCTAGTAAGTAAGCATCGCCCAACTTTTATGAGGTCCAATACCATTTCCAAAACTTATGTTTCAAACACCCTGCCGTCGGATGCACCCAAGAAGAGGCGCGCTCCATTGCCTCCCATGCCAGGGTCACAGAGTGTCCCCCAGGACCTTGCTCACATCCAGGAAAGGCCAGCTTCTTGTGTAGTGAAGTCGATGAGTGTGGATGAATCACATAAGGTGCGTAATTTTGTTTTGTGTTTTTAGAATGGGGCTGGTGACCATCTATTTTTCCTCTTATGTAACTTGTCATTTTTCGAATAGACTACTAGTAAGGTTAGTAACAGTTACTAATGTTACAATAAGATGAATAGCTAGTTGCTAATTAGATTGGTACTGAGAAGAGATTCTCTATATATGTATAGTTCTGCAATGCAGTAAAGAATAAACATGTCAACTTTAAGTAGCTTTCATATTCAAGCAAATAAATCCTTCATAAACTGTAACGTCCTGGTTTACTAAGGCCCAACCAGAGGCTCTTGCTTGATGTATATATTAGGAATGAAAATACTTATTTTTGTACACTTTTTTTTTAAACAGCGATACAGTGTTTGTGTTGTGTTCATGGGTTTTTAAGTATATATATATTCTTGACCAGACTCAGATTCTCGTTGGGGGGTAATCCTGGTGTCTGCCTGGTACATAGATACTCTACAGTAAAACAATTTTTTTTAAAAGACTTCTTTTATATAGAATATGTTATAGTTACTCTTATATGCTTTTATGTTCAAACCACTTTCTAGGTGAACCTTTTCCCCAAGTTTTATTATCCCTCGCCTTTAATCCCAGATTTTCATGGAGTATGCTGTTTTGTGGAAATCCATTTGCAGACTACTTTTCATGCCTATAAAATCTGTACATTCCTTGCTTTATTCATGTGAGCTATAAATGAAGTTTTAAGTAAATGCAGCTGAACATGAGACCATGTATTTTGTTGCTTGTAATCAGAAAATGATTTAAGCAACTTTGTGAGCAAATTTTATTTTGAGATATTTGAGACACTGAGAAGTTTTCTTGTATCTAGTTGGAAGGTTTTATTTCCTCCTTCTCCACTGGAAGCTTACTAAATTCAATGCTCAAGTAAATTAACTCTTCACAGCCGACTAATAAACATTTCTATCCTTCCTAAACTATCATATGCGTCTTTAGAAAGTAAATAGCAACTCGAGTAGATAGAAATGAACCCTCAAAATGCTTAAACTCAGTTGTTACTTGGAAAATTATCTATTAAGCTGCCTTCTTATTTCTGTTAAGATTCTTTTGTCTAACGGTTGTGGTGTAAAATCTCATCAAAGCAGGAATATGGTTATTTTTTCAAATCATAGAATTATCCAGTGACAAAGTTTTCCAGGGTGACTGCTTGGTAGTTGGGTGATATGTCACAGAAGAGGTGATTTTTGGGTTCAGTCTTAAATTGTGTGGGAGTGTGTTCATCAGTCAAGAGGAACTCTGTTCAAAGATGCAGGAATGTGAAGCTATGACATGCCTGGACATGAGCAAGAAACAGAGATTGAAACTGAGGGATATGAGCCGAGGGCAAGTCAGGGTCCCCAGTGACTTCATTTTGTGTCTGTAACTCCCTTATATTTCTTCATAGTAAGTCATTTCAAAGATAGAACTTTCAGAATTGTTTTATTTTTTAATTACCATAAAACTACATTCTAAGCGTGTAAGTTATTTTACCTTTGAGAAGCTACCAAAGTCTACTTTTTCTTTACTTAAAAATAAATCTTAGCCCCTGCTCACAAATTTTTATTCCCGCTGTCCTCATCCAGTCTATTCCAGTAAACTTCCTTTGTTCTCGGATCCCAAAGAGGTCTATGTTGTCTTTCTAATAGTCTGCTTGTTGAAATTCTGTTCTGTGCTCTCTGTGACCTCACCAAAAGCTGTTTCTTTTGATTCTCGCCCTCTGCTCTATGACCAGTTGATGCCCCATGTTAAGTAATCGTTTTTTTGGTATGTTGCCTTTGGCAAACTAGCCATCTTTATACAATTTTCTAATTATTTTTTCTTTTGATCTGGACATCTGGATAATTCTTTGATGTATTGTTCAGTAGGACCCAGAATTATTTGCTTTTCCCTAGAGAAACTGAAGAACTATTTTTTATTTATTCATTACAAAAATTCTTAACGATTAAGCTGTGGTTCTGTTTGTGAGAGTGTGTGTGTGTGTGTGTGTGTGTGTGTGTACATACGTACACATGGGCATGCTCATGTGAATTCATGCCTTCCTAGGCATCTCAGCACTTATTTCCTTAACTTCTTGGCTGTACTTGATTTGGTGAATCACCCCCTTGGTCTTGATTTTTCTCTCTTCCATGATCCTGATTCTCTTCGTATATCTCAGCTCTCTTAGATATTTTTTTTTCTTGGCACCACTTCCTTTACTCCTTTTCTAAGTTTGGACATACCTGAACCCATGGTCTTAGCTTATATTTACTGTACTCTTTCAGAGAAAACATCTATTCTTTGCTGAGTTCTCAACTGTAGTAGTTTTAACAGTGTCTTCCCAAAAGATGTGTCCAAGTCCTAACCCCCAGCACCTGTGAAGGTGACCTTCTTTAGAAATAGTTTTTGCAGATGTAATCAAATGAAGGATCTAGAAATGAGATCATCCTGGATTTAGGTTGGGCCCAAATCCAATGACTAGTGTCCTGATAAGAAGAGACACAGAGACACAAAGGAGAAGGCCATGTGACAATGGAGGCAGAGATTGGAGTTAGGCTACCACAAGCCAAGGAATGCAAGGAGCCACCAAAAGCTGGAAGAGGCAAGGAAGAATTCTCCCATGCTGCTTTCAGAGGGATATGGCCCTGCCAACATCTTGACTTTAGACTTCTGGCTTCCAGAACTGTGAAAGGATAAAATTCTGTTGTTTTAAGCCAGCCGGTCACAGTAATTTGTTGCATCAGCCCTTGGAAACTAGTACATCAACTTTGTAATTCCAATCCCGATATTCTTCCAGTTGCAGTTTGAACTCACTGTTGTTATTGACTCGTCACTACCTGAAAATCAGCATATTTAAAATCAAACTCATCTTTTTTCTCCCAGATTGAAAAGCTTGAGATGTTGTTTCCTTTTTCGTTCCACATCCAATTAGTGACCAATCCTTCATTCAGTCTCCCTTCATAATGTCTCCTTGCCCTGTCTCCTGTTCCGTCTGCTGAAGTCATGCCTCAGAGAAACCCAGCGCAGTGAGTAGGGAGAAGACTTAACTCATCTCCCCATTTCTTGTGTTCAGAATACAAAGAACGTGGTAAGCTGCCATGTTTATATTTTGTGTTATCACTTCCTAGTTCAGAAAATTTGAATAGCTGGCTATTATTTTCTGGGCATGTAAGGTCCTCTACAATGATCACAATTTTTGGGGGGAGGGTGGTGTTCTAATTTCCTTCCATCACTCCTTAGCTTTGTTGAGGTACAATTGACTAACAAAGTTGTAAGATATTTAAAGTTTACATCGTGGTGATTTGAAATACATTTACATGGTGAAAGAATTCCCCCCATCTAGTTAATTAACACATCCATCAGCTCACATATTTACCTTTTTTGTGCGTGTGGTAAGAACATTTAAGTTACACTGTCTTAGCCAATTTCGAATATATAATACGGAGTTACCAACTGTAGTCCCCATGTTTTATGTTAGATCCTCAGACCTTATTCATCTTACAGTTGAAAATCTGTCCCCTTTTACCAGCCTCTCTCTATTTCCCCCATCCCTTAACCTTGGGCAACCTTTTCTACTCTCTGTTTCTGTAAGTTTGACTCTTTTAGATTCCACATATATGTGATAACATACAGTAGTTTGCTCTTTCTCTGTCTGGTTTATTTCCTTTGGTGTAATGTCCTCAAGGTCCATCCATGTTGTCGCAAATGGCAGGATTTCATTCTTTCTCATGGCTGAATAATATTCCATTGTATGTATATATACATATATATATACCACATCTTCTTTATCCATTCTTCCTTTCTTGGAGACTTAGGTTGTTTCCATATCTTTGCTATTGTGAAGAATGATGCAATAAACATGGGAGTGAAAGTATCTCTTCAATATCCTGTTTTCATTTCCTTTGGATACATACCCAGAGTAGGATTGCTAGATGATATGGTAGTTGTATTTTTAATTATTTGAGAAACCTCTATACTGTTTTCCATAGAGGCTGTACCAATTTACATTCCCACCAACAGTGCGCAAGCGTTCTCTTTTCTCCACATCCTTGCCAGCACTTATCTCCTATCTTCTTGTCGATAGTCATTCTAACAGGTGTGAGTTGATATCTCATTGTGGTTATGATTTGCACTTTCCTGATGATTAGTGATGTTGAACACTTTTTCATGTACCTCTTGCCCATTTGTGTATCTTCTTTGGAAAAGTGTCTGTTTAGTTCCTCTGCCCATTTTTTAATTGCATTGGTTATTTTTTTGCCATTGAATTGTATGAGTTCTTTATATATTTTTCATATTACTCCCTTATCAGATGATTTGAAAATATTTTCTCCCGTTCCATACGTGGCTCTTTCATTTTGTTGATGGTTTCCTTTGCTGTGAAGAAGCACAGTTCTTTTTTAAACTTTAATTCCTCATCATTTTCAGCATGCTTCTAACTCTGCCCAGAAGACTTGTCTTGTCACTCATCAAAATCCTGTTTCTTATCCTTTCAGTGTAGAGTGACCTCCAGCTCCATCATCTTCAGTTCTACTCACACATTCAAATTAAAACTATTCTTTTGTGTGTGTGTGTGTGTGTGTGTGTCTGAGGAAGATTTGTTCTGAGCTAACATCTGTCCCAATATTCCTCTATTTTATGTGGGATGCCACCACAGTATGCCTTGACGAGCGGTGCTAGGCCCACGCCCAAGATCTGAACCTGCTAACCCTGGGCCACCAAAGTGGAGCATGCGAACTTAACCACTATACCACCAGGACAGCTCCTCTTTTACCTTCTTCATAGAGAATTTTCTAAAGATTCCAGCCCAGAGTGATCTCACTTTCTCTGAATTTGTCTCTCTTGTGCCTTTTTATTCTATTTATTTTTTAATTTAGGTATATGTGTAGGTAGTATATTCATGGGATATATATTTCTAAAGATAAAAAGGAGAATACGGTGAAATCCTTCCCTTCTCTACCCTGCCCCTAGCCAAATTCTTCTGCCTAGAGGCAACCTCTACTACCAGTTTCTTA